ATATATACTAACATGATGAATGTGTCCTCTATAATCTATATATATATATATATATATATTCTCTTTAGAATATTTCTATACCAAAGGTTAAATTTGGAAGTAGTGTAAAAGGGGAATTGAAGAATTCATAAGTAATCTTACATGTCACTATCCCCAATTAACTAATTCTAGTTTGCTAAGCAGCATAATTCTTTGGGTCCAATTCAGCCAATACAATAAAATGAAAATCAGATTGAACTGGGTGAAATTCACAATTTAGAAACCATGATCCCCATGAAACTTCTAGCTTTGCCTCTAGTGTGAACCTTTTTTTTTTGTTTTTTTTGGGAAATTTGGCCATAAACCCGTCCTAGTTTCCTTTTCTTGTTACTAAGACCCAAAAAAAAAAAATAGTACTTTCAAAACCTCCTCATAATTATAAAATCCTGTATGAAAAACAAAATTTGTTATTTGAATATTTTATTTGACCCTTATACCTTCTCTTTCTTCTACAACACTCTCTCTCTCTCTCTTCACCAACTTGACGATTGTTCATTGTCTCTACCATCTTCATCGTTTACTGGCGTTACTCATCCTCATCGTCTACTGGCGTTACTCATCCTCATCGTCGACCAGCAACCACTATGTTTACCATTAAACCACCACCATCTCAGATTTGATACCTACGAACTCATATTTGAAATCAATAACTTAAGATTTGAGATTAATGGGTTGTTTGGGATGTTCTAAATAAGTATACTTTTTGACTTTTTATGAAATATGAGTTGAGTTTGAAATGATGTGATAGAGAGGTGATGTGACTTAAATAAGATGATGTGACTTAAATAAGATAGTGACTTTTTGACTTTTTTGATATATGCCAAATAAGGCTTAAAAAATACTTAGATTTGACAGAAAAATGAGAAATCGAGATATTGTAATGAAAAATCAAGAGTTTTTTGTTTGTTTGTTCATAGATTTAAAAGTAAAATTTGACTATGGTTCGTTCATTAGTATGTACTCGGTTTTTTGTAATAGCAAAATTTTATTTTGATTAACAATATGTTGATCTGCTTAACAACAGTCAAATTTTACTTTGAATCATAGTAAATGTTACTTTGATTCAGAGTAAAAACTTTTACTCTGAATCAGAGTAAAGTTTAATATGATTCAAAGTAAAATTTTACTCTGAAACAAGCTACGATGATGACTTTACAGAAGAGTGTTATGTCATGAAGCAGAGTAAAATTTTATTATTCAAAAAACAAAGCATCATGAGAAGAAGAAAAAGAGATAGGGAGACAGAGTTTGAAAACAAAGGATTATGAGAAGAAGAAGAAGAAAGTTAAAGAGCATAAATGGTGAGTGACACACACACACACATAGAGAGAGCACAAACCATCAGAACTAAACAGATGGAGAGAGTGAAGGATCTCAGATCTGAGATTTGCGAACCTTCGCAAATCGTCATTTTTTGGCGACGACGAATGTGAATGATCTCAGATTTGAGGTTGTGGATGCGACGAGTGACGGTGGTGATGAAGACGGTAGAGAAAGAGTTCCATGGTGAGCGGCGGCGGCGCCGGTGTAAAGCGGTGATGGCGCCAATGGAGAGCAAGAATAAGAGCAAGACAGAGAAAACAGAGATTGAGATGAGAGAGAGTGATTGCATTTGTAGACCCATTTGCAGCCAATTGCAATCTTGCCAGGAGGAAGATCAACAACATCCCAAGTATGAGTTTTGTCCAAAGCCTGAAGTTCATCAGTCATAGCTTGCTACCAAAGAGGATTAGTACAAGTCTCACGATAGGAGGTAGGTTCATAAATAGAAAAGGCAGCAGACCCAACAATATAATCACGAAGATGAATAGGTGGTTGAGTTACCCGGTGTGGCTGACTCGTGGAAAGATCGGTAGGGGGAAGAGTTGGCGAAGAAGAAGGAGACGAACTAGAAGGTGCAAGGAGAGGTGGACCATCAGAGAGAACAGTCTAGCCGGGATCAGGGATCAACAAGGGCGTCTCGATGAAGGAGGAACCTGTATCAAAGTTATTAGAGAAGAGATCAAGGGAAGGATTAGTAAAGATGACCAGAGTGGAGAGTGCGGGTAAGTGAAAGGAGGAGAGAGAGGAAAACTGTTTGTGCTCCCAGAAAACTACATGGCGGGAGATACGAAGACGCTTAGAGAGAGGATCCCAACAGTGAAAGCCTTTATGTTCAATCAATCACATATCCAAGAAAGCAGCAAAGATGAGAACGAGGTTCAAGCTTGGTGTGTTCATGGGATTGAAACAGAACAAAGTAGGCAGAGCCAAAAACCCGAAGATTGGTGTATGGAGGAGGAGTGCCGTTCAAAGGGGTTTTGAAATGATCCATATAATTCTTATCCTTTTGAAGGACAAGTTAAACACTGAGGGGTGGGGTCTATTACCAAATCTCATTTTTTTGTTTTTCAAATTTTCTAGTGCAAAGGAAAGAAAAACAGAACTCCATCAAGCTTTTACCCTGATCAAAACAAAACTCCCCTGCCCATTCAATACAATGCTCGACCAGTATGTTTGAGGCCTTGGATAATAGTGTCACAGTTATGTTTGGATAGCTACCTGTATATATCATACCTGCTTTTTATATTTCTCTTGCTTCGATGGTGGTTTTCATATAATTCCATTTGCTTATTCTCGTTCTATATCTCTCTCAATTGTTGTTTGATATACAGCATGCACGGAACCATTGGCCTGAGCACATGGTAAGCTTGACCACTTCATCCCATACATGGATTTAAAGTTTGGCTAATGTGTTGTAAAATTTTCGGAAACTCATATTTGGATAGTTGTTACTTTGAATTGGTCAATAGAACCAAAATAAAATAAAATAAAAACTTGCCAAAGAGTTCAAATTCAGTGAAATTTGTGTATATTTGGTGACAAAAACAAGAAAAAAATGGCCTACTACTAATTTTTACTGTGGTGATCAAGTCCACTGGTTTTCTGAAAATCATCAATATTAACAAAATGAAAATCAAATTTTAAAGATGGCGACAAACTTGAAATTTGAATTTGGACTCATTCAATGAAGTGGGTGAAAATTCACATTTGAAAACTTGTTGCTTTTCCTCTAGTGTTAACTATTGTTTCTTTTGCAATCTAGTGTTAATCAATGTTTTTCACAATCGATCTAGATGACAGAAGATTTAATAATCCTGTGTCTGGCATGCAAGTCTAGTTTCAAGTGCTACAAACCAAAGACAAGGGCAGAGAAGCCTCCGCCACCAAACATACCCCTACGTCCTGCAAAACCAAGGCACATCATTGCTTCAAGGATCATCTGGGGAGCACTGAAACTCACTGCTTTGTTACTCACATGGCTTTTGTTAACACCATAAATCTGCAATTTTTATTATTATTTATTATTTATTCTGGGGAGCACTGAAACTCACTGCTTTGTTACTCACATGGCTTTATTAATTTTAACAACATAATGAACCTTGCATCTGAGCCATAGACTCTATGAATCCTGTATCAGTCCCAATTCCACATACAAACTGGTTTTAAGAATGATTTAAGCAGTAGTAATATTCATTTTATATATATATATATATGAAAAAATATAACATTAAAAAAAATAAAGCCCCATGGAAAGAGCATAAAATCCAAGCTTTCTGCTAGCTTTGAGCGGGCTGAGTGGGATAATCTTCATGGGATCATCAATTTTATGCTTTCATAAAGCAGGGAAACGATGAAGGATAGAGTAACCAATGAATGTGCTATCTGACCCTAGGCACTAGTAAAACAATTTCACATTGTTTGTTTTCTTAATTCTTACTATTTATTACATATGTACATAGCATACTAATAAAAGCTTTGATTTGTGTCATCTGACCCTATCTTAGAATATCTCTTGGAACCTTTCTGATTACGGTAGAACCACAACACCCGTGGGCGCAGCCTTACTTTTGGGTATGCGCCCTACTTTTGGGTGAACTACGTAAATTTTGTGTTTTTGTGTGTGCATGTGATTTTCAACTGTTGTGTGTTTTTTGTTCTTCTTTGTTTTCATGTTTCACCGATTCTGGGTGAAAATACATTTAATATAACAGCTAGGCATAAGGATGGATAGGGGAGATACCTTTGAAGCATAAAGAAAGAAGTATTAGTAGGATGAGGATAGGATTGGTAGGGACGGGGATGATCTTAAAAGAAGAAATCGGAGGTTGCTGTTATGTTATAGATTAGCTATATATAATATATTTCAGGGCTGGTGCTTATTGTTGAGTTTGGTACTTTTGTGGACGTGTTTCTCGTTATTTAATTGTTGTTTATCTAATTTCATTGGTGAAGAAACCAGTTGTGCTTGTGGCTTTGCAAAGCTAACTGATGAACCTACATGGAGAGTTGATCCTCGTTATGAAACAACTAGCTTTGTGCAAATCAAGGATGCATTTGTCGAGTCATTAAGACAATCGCACTGAATTTGAAATCAATGAGAGCTTAAAGCTTTTAAATTCCCTTGTTTACTGTAGAAAAGGAACAAGCAATTGGGCATTCTGATTCCATCAAATTGGTTTTCATATTTTGAATGTCTTCCATCAAATCCAACAAATTTATGTCTACTAAATTGAATCCCAAACACAAAAACATTCAAAACATGGAGGGATTTCTTTGCCTGTTGGAAGCAATTGAATCGCATGAAGTGAGGCTTTCTCAAAGTTTTCATATTTGTATGCTATGGTCGTTGGATTGGATTCCCTTGTTTCGAGCACTTGCTGGGGGTGACATAACAGATTCAATTGCTACCTTTGCTTCCAAATTGACCACATTACAGCCAAAGGAATTGCACTCCATACCAGCCTCTCGTTCTTCTTCAGCTTCACCCCTGCCCACCATAGAAGCAAATTTTCAACTGATCCAGGTAGAGCAACTTGGACACCCCACTAATTTAGCATTTCAGTAACCTTCCACACAAAGGGGCAAAACAAAAGTACATGGCTCACTGATTCAGTCTCTTGGCTGCAAAAAGCACATTCAATGGATACACTCCCATTTAAAATCCCTATTTTTGTGAAGAAAATCTCAAGGCATGACAACTAAAGTGATCACAATAAAATATAGGCCCTAGACAACCTTAATAGCATTAAAAAATGTGGTATCATTAACAGCTTTAAAAATTGTAGTATCATTAATAGCAACATTTAGTCCCCCACTCAACAATCAAGCATCCAAAACAAAGTAATAGTGTAAGTAGTATCAATACTTAGGTGTCTTTTCTCTTGGTCAATTCTCAATTACATATATGTAGAAATTTTACACATTATTTACGGGACTTGTACTTGCAGATTTATTGACTTCTTCATGTGCTCTACCAGTCCTATCTCTTGCAAACTTCTTCCACACTTCAAGGAGGAATGCAGATAATATCAATGCCCCGAACACAACACCATATGCAATCATCCATTCTTTCGCGGGCTTCAAAATGCTGAATCCTAACCATATGTTGAAGAAGCTCAAGAGAATGACTGCGTATCCCGTGTTATGGTGGAACAAATTCCAGAGATACCTATACTTGTGGTCCTTGCTAGGTCGCAGAAGTAGAGCAGAGACCTAAACACAAACAAAGATTTGTTAGCATGATAGGAACATACTAATTATAAAATAATAACAATAAGAATTAAAAACAAACAAACAATCTGAAATTGTTATATAGATTTGTGGAGCAAAGTGCTGTAATACCTGAAGTAGTCCAAGGGAAAAAAGTATAATCCCAATGCCCAGATGGCAAGGGTGATGAATGCCAGAAGATTTGCTGAGAAGAAGAAACCCAGTTGCACCTCCTGCCAAGCCGATTATATAGGCTGAGAGTTGAACAACAATATGGAGGTAGAACCATAAGGGGTCCGCTGCCGGTCCAACTGCCTTTAAATATCTTGCCACCAAAAGGCCAATTGGCATCATAATGCCCCAGCTAATTGTGTTGAGTACACCATGTGACTGTTAAATTTGAAAATCATTCACCATTAGAGCATTCCAGGAGGCTAAATCTAAATTAATTGTAGTAAAGCCATTGAGATACTAAAACAAAGCCCTAAAACAGGACCTAAACCCCCCTGTTTTGACACTCCCCTGTTTTGACTAGATTTGGTTTTTATCTATGTTACGTAAGTTAGTTACAAGGTAAACTTTACTATGGATAGAAAAAAATACGTGTACCAATTTATATACTCAAAAAGGGTCAGATCAAACAATCAGATTAAAACAACCAAAAAGCATTAAATTAAATCTGTATTTGTAATTCGAAAATAAATCAGTAGAGCATGCATGAAACAATTGTTCAGGGCAGGGCAACAGCAAACAGACTGAAGCAAAAATAAGAAAGATAATATTAAAAATAAGGATGACATGATATAGTTTCAAAGAGATTGAATTACATACAATCTTGAGTTTGGTTTTCGAATCGGATCTGCGAGAGGCGAAGGCCCGTCCAGATAAAAGATTGAGAGTTCCCATGGATTGAAGATGACGTCCAGATAGATCGTGAATGCCAAGATGGTTGCCAGTTATGGGTCCATCTTGCCACACATGGTTGATAGTAGAACTGTTGTTGGGAAGTTGTATCGTTGCGAAGATAATGATCTCATCATTAGAAAACAAGGCAGACAAATCAGAAACAGGGAAACTCAAGTTTCCCTTTTGCAGTTGAGTCGCATAGCTATCAACGGACGAGGTGTAGACAGCCATGTTTCCATCTGGCTTCTGATATGCAATGATCGCCTGAGTACCCACCATCTTGTTTGGCTTGGGATTGATGCCCCATGCAACCCACGTGGAGGGAGGGACATGACTGTGACGGTATGCCATGTCAAGAGTTGTTGATGATGGGTTCTGACTCCAGTAGAGAAAGGAGTTGAGTGCGGACAGATTGGTGCATGACGTGAAGACTTTGTTGTCGGGAAACATGAAATCAGAACATGAATCAGCAGCCGCAGAGAACAAGAAGAATATCAGAACAGCAATCAAAAGCTTCATGTTCATGGTGGCCTCAACAAGAGAGTAATCGAATGATAAGAAAACAGAATGTATATTTGTTTTGACGATGAGAAGAGTTAGGGGAGTGAGGGTTCTATTTATAATGATTGAATCCTAATTCTTTCATGAGTCCTAATTCTCTCATGAAACCGACAAGTGTGAGGTCCAACAAATTAGTGAGACACGGTTTTATAAATTCACTAATCAGACCTAGAATTTCTCTTTTACATGACTTCTACTGAAACGAGGAAGCTTTTGTAAGATTTACTAATCCTTACACGATTCACATTATTACTAATCAGTCCTAGAATCTCTTTTTGCATACACTTGTACTAAAAAGGCTATCGACAGACGAGGTGTAGACAGCCATGTTTCCATCTGGCTTCTGATATGCAATGATCGCCTGAGTACCCACCATCTTGTTTGGCTTGGGGTTGATGCCCCATGCAACCCATGTGGAGGGAGGGACATGACTGTGACGGTATGCCATGTCAAGAGTTGTTGATGATGGGTTCTGACTCCAGTAGAGAAAGGAGTTGAGTGCGGACAGATTGGTGCATGACGTGAAGACTTTGTTGTTGGGAAACATGAAATCGGAACATGAATCAGCAGCCGCAGAGAACAAGAAGAATATCAGAACAGCAATCAAAAGCTTCATGTTCATGGTGGCTTCAACAAGAGAGTAATCGAATAATAAGAAAACAGAATGTATATTTGTTTTGACGATGAGAAGAGTTAGGAGAGTGAGGGTTCTATTTATAATGATTGAATCCTAATTCTTTCATGAGTCCTAATTCTCTCATGAAACCGACTAGTGTGAGGTCCAAGAAATTAGTGAGACACGGTTTTATAAATTCACTAATCAGACCTAGAATTTCTCTTTTACATGACTTCTACTGAAACTAGGAAGCTTTTGTAAGATTTACTAATCCTTATACGATTCACATTATTACTAATCAGTCCTAGAATCTCTTTTTGCATACACTTGTACTAAAAAGTTGAGTCCTAATTTGGACCCAATTCAATTTCTCTTTGCATACACCCCTGCGCACCCCCTTCTTCAACTACCTCATCTTTCACAGTCCACAATAATCCAACCAAAACTGTGTTCAACCCAAGACAAGTCTATGCACAGCCAAAGCAAGTAGGAGTCCAAGTATCAAAACCCACAATTTGGAAACAGAAATTGAACCAAAGAAGAGAAGGAGAGAAGGATTATGATATGGACCCTGAGTTTGCTGAAATTCTTGGGAGTTGTCTTGATGAATACTGCTGAATTCTTTGAAAATGTTGTGGTTTATGAGTTTTGGGACTATTTTTTTTTTTTTTTTTTTTTTTAATTTTAATTGTTAACTTTGGAATTTTGGGATAATTCATGGGAGTTGTCTTGATGATATTGGAAAAGTATATTTTAAACATTTTATGAATAAATATATCGAGTTTAATGATTAAAATATTATTTTTTTGTCGATTCTATTTAACAAAAATAGACAAATAGTTTAAATTTAAAATATAAAAAAAATCAAAAGATTAAGATTTAAATCGACAAAATTAAAAATTCATAACTTATTTTCTTACAAAGCTCAAACTTTAAGATTTTTTAATGTAATTGCCCCTAAATAAAAAAATTGGACTAAGGTCAATAATACGTTACACTATTAGTTGAAGCGAAATAGAATCAAAACGGTAATTGAATCCTAATTCATAGTGGGTTGGTTTTTTTGTTTTTTTAAACGATGGGATATAAATTGTTTTTTATATCCGATATATCTTGTTCTCTTCACATTCTTCATCAAATTGCTCATTTGAAGAATTTTATTTTTGTTTTTTTTGTCTCTAAATCTCTAGTTCACAGATAATACTTAAAAATGATCTTACCAAGCAAAAGAAAATATTATGGGTTTTCTTTGATGGATCCCTAACAATTTTATCATATGTTTTGATATTCACAATTTTCTTGACGGGGACGAAGTGATCCATCCAACCATGTATCGAGGACATTTCCATGGAAGTTGCCAACAAAAAGCTCAAATCTGGCCACATTTTATTGTGTCTAATTATTGTATTCTTGTCTAAATAACCATAATTTGGTTATTTCATAGTACAAAAACAGAAGAAACAGAGCTCAAAACAGAACCAATTAAATTTAAATTTGAAGCCTTCTACTCATTGCCGTGATGTCAAATTCTTTACCAGAACTGGTGCAAAACAACCATGACACAGTAAGAAACTCCATTATACAAATGTTGTTCTATTTTCCAGATTAAGAAAATGTGCAATATACTAAGGTCTCGTTTGGGAACCCTCATTTTTAGCTAAAAAGTCAAAAAGTTACTAAATTAGCCAAAAAGCCAACAACTCATACCAAAAAGTCAAAGATTCTCTTTCCTCTCTACTTTTTGCACATCTTTTCGTAAAAAACCAAAAAGTCATCCCAAACATACTAGTTTTTTTTAGCTCATATTTTAGCCAAATAGCCAAAAAGTTACTAAATTAGTCTGTTTCCAAACGGGGAGTAGCGAGTCAGGAAACTAAATTAGGAGAGGCATTTATTAATTACAACTTTATTTTTTTTCCATAATTAACAATAAGAAGATAATAATGATTTTTGAATTAATATTAAGTACAAAAATTTAAATAAATTTTTACAAAAGTATATAAAATTTATAATTAACTTCGAGTAAAATCGAAAAGAAAGTGTTGTGTAACTAATGTATCATGGACAATGTACAAAAGTCATATATTTAAGTTGTAAAATAAATTATATAATGGCCCTGTTTAGTAGAACTGTGGGAAAGTGCTTATAGCTTATGCCTAAACAATTTATAGCTTATAACTATGAACATAAACTGATTTCTGACTTATAAATTAAGCATCTCCTGCCCCACTCAAAGAATAAGCTAATTTCTGACTTCTAAAAAGCTATAAACTATAAGCTATAAGCTAAACCAAACACATCAAAATAGCTTAAATTAAGCTGAAAGCTGAAATAAGCAGTTTTTAAGCTACACCAAACAGGCACAATGGTAAGATAAATCAAATTTTTACAAAATTTGAGTAAAAATTTCATATAATAGTGATATCACGTCATTATTGACATATGATATTAGCAACCAATAATAAAGCAACATATGAAGAGTGAACCCTACATGCAAATATAACTAACACTCTAATAATTTTTACATATATATAGTGAGATTAATTATATTTGCATATCAATAATGATAGATATAACCTTTATATTTAGATTTTTTCACAAATTTTTCATACATAAAAATATAATTTATTGTAGTCACTTCATTTTCAATAAAACAATTACTATTGTTTTCACAAATTTAAAAATGCCCTTAACATTTTATTTTAAATATTATTTTTATTTAAAATTTTATTTATATACATAAGTACAAAAAAAAAAATAAAAAATTAAAAGGAGCACGTGACCCCTGATCACCACGTGGCTCCACCACTGCTTAGTATTAGTATGGGGTCAAATATGAGTATCTTGGGTTTAAGGAAAGTAAAAGGGACCAAAATTTAGCTTTTATTTTTATCACTTTTCCGTTTTCCTTTCCTACTAAATCTTTGTTCACATTCATCATCCAAAAACAACCTTAATATGAAGATATCAAAATGCTATGTTCTCTCCAAATAACGTCTAAACTCTGCGAATTTAGTACATTTACAATCATAACATTTGAAAATGATGTGAAGTTATGGTTCAACTATTATAGAAAACAGTTTGATATTGTGTGGTATTTCTCTGTCCCATGATGGTGGTTGAATGTTGTTGTTTTGCATATCCACTGATATCTAATCTCCCCATGCTGTGGGGTACTTTCCCTAATAGGAAGGTTCTGTGTATTTTCCAACCCAAATTATTATTATTATCTTCCCACACATGTAAAGCAATCACTTCAATTAGGACTAAATGGATTGTGTAGCAAGCTATATAAAAATTCAAATCAAGAAAAATAATTACAAAAGAAAATGATAAAGATTATAAATATTAATAATTAAATTAAAATTATAAACTTTTATACCATTGTGTAATAATTTTTCAAAATCCACCATTAATGCTATTTGGTTTAGTTTCTAAAAAATATTTTTAATTTTTAATTTTATATATATTGTCTTTAGTAAAGTTTTTTTTTTATATATTTCAGTAAATAAATTTATTTCATGCATCTGATATAATATTTATGAAAAAAATATTTAAAAAAAAAAGAAAAAGAAGTTCACTAAAGATACTTCTTTATCTTTGGTGAACTTTTATATAAAAAATAGAATAAATTTAAAAATAAAGATGAAAGATTTAAAATCAAGTCCTATTTTGACAAATAATAATAGCTTAGATTTTACTCACAAAATTTTAAACCCACAAGTCCTCTATTAACTTTATATGACTAATCTATCTTGCAAATTTTGATTGCTTTGAAAGATAAGAATTCGAATGTTCGAATCAGCATGAATTCAATCTCGAACCCTATTTCGAGCTCTTGAGCGAACTAGTTGAGATTGTCTCTGATCAATCTCGATTCGATCCAGTACTCTTCAACAACAACTGCAATGATTTGAAAAATCAGAGTACCGGATTTGCGAGACTCGGCTCGATCAGTGACTTCCTTAATGAACGAAGCCTGCTGGCTTCCAAATCCAATAAATAAATGATGAACTGTCTACAGCTTCAAGGATTGCTTGATTGGCAGTGAAATTGGAGAACATGATGATCAGAGAGACGATTGAGAAGTTCTTGTACGCTTTGATCACTTGAACAACTTCTAAAGAAGAGGAATTATGAGTTGAACGAGTCGACCCATAATTAGAGACTGAAGAGCTTTGAAGTAAAATGCAATGCTCTGTGAAGAGGCATTCCCACCAAAGATGGTAACTGTTGATTGAACTCTCATTGCAAGTGGTTTTTGAAAGAGAAATTGAGAGAGTTGAGAGAGTAATATTGAAAGGGGTTTTTGTATTATTAACACTCTGATTACAAACCAAATGGAGGCTCCATTATATAGGAGAGCTGAATACAAACATCATTATGGTATACATCACTAAAATAAGAAAAAGGCACACCGAAAGGAAGTGGGCGGCCGAAAGAAGAGACAAGCCGAAAGCTAAAGCTCCTATTATATACATACTATATTATATTACATACTATATTATATTATATACTAAAGCTGTCTCCATATTAGATTATATTAATAAGTATATGAATATTATATACATATGTTAACAGCCCCCCGCAAACTCAAGGAGGAGCAACCAACTGGAGTTTGGAGACAAGTTCAACGAAGCGGCCAGGAGAATGAGCTTTGGTGAAGATATCAGCAG